TGTCTCTTTTTTCCCAACTCCCGCTGAGCATGATCAGATCATCCATATACCCCTTGTCCGAGTCAGGCATGTGGGTCACCAAGTATATGGAAGTGTCCCGTGCCTGGAGGTAGTACCTGCCTCCAGAAACTAGTCGTAAGTCGTAGTAAAACAGGATTTCATTTATCCCTAGGTTCACCCTCAGCCGAGCATTCAAGGCAACTACGCCCAAGACTATCCTAAAAAAATTCACACCACATTGGATGGGGAAAAAACTCAGTTGCATTAGCATTTTTAGCAATAAGGGGTGAAGAGGAAAGGTCAGTCCCCCTTCCATGATGGCTTTGGTCCAAAAGGGCATCATATCTACTCTTTTTATGTCCATTCTGTGGTGAAGATGATTGAAGGGGGAGGTGAAGACTGGCTCGAAAATTTGGTATCTAACCCTAAAGGCTTGGATATTTTCGTCAATCACCTGAATCCTCCTCAACTTACGGTTGGCCCTAGCCCTGCCAGGTGCCCCCTCCACCGTTCTACGGGGTTCTAGCCATTAATGGTTTCTAAAAAGAACTCTAGAAGAAATGAGAAGCAAACTCAAAAAGAGGGAATTACTTATAGATGAAGGACCTTCAAAGAGAGTACTCGGAGGGTTACAAGAGAGTGCTCGGGAGATGGGAAGAGAACGCTTGGGGGCTGATTGTTGAGGAAAAGGCGAGAATACAAAAGTTTTGAAATGACTCAATCATCTCCTATTTATACCCTGCTGGAGGGGGCGGGAATCGAAAAGACATGTTATAATTAGGAAATTTGAAAAAAAATGGCTCGAGACATGCAGATAACAGCTCCTATTTAATAGGCGTGTCTGGTAAGCCTCTAATCCCCCTTGCGCCACTTGTCCCATATCACAAAGAGAATGAAGGCTGGGGGCAGTTGACGGGACTTTAGACGGCTCAGTAGCCCCCAAGTCGACACGTGTGAGATTTTAGTCGTTATGGAGTTCAAAGGATGCTGGGGAGTGGAGCCGAGAGATAATGGCTCGGAGAAGTCGAGTATGCTAGCTGACATCCACAGTTAATACGACTTGACCACTCATTTATAGCGATATAAGTGACTGACACTAGGCCATTAATGAGCCTCTACATCCTCAAAGCCTAAGCCTGCAGTCATGATGGCTAGACATTAATGACTCTTGCGCCAAGTGTACCTCAAGGTACTGTTTCCTGGGCATTGAATGTTCAGTAGTAGATGTCAAACCCCGATCAAAGACAGTTGAATGCTCGAGAATAGCCATAAGTGCTCGGCATGTCCCCAAACACTTGTCCTATCATCCTAGTATTAAATATGTGAAGATCTAGGTAGAGAACGCTTAGATCTCGTAGGTAAAAGTGCCAGACATTGAATGTTTAGATGGAACTTGAGGCATTTGCACTCATTACTAATCCAAGTATAAATACTACTCAAAAAAATGAACAAAAGTACGCAAGACTAAACTAAGATAAAAAATACACTGTGCTCAAGCCTCTCATCCTATATTGACTTAAGCTTTAGAGGGGATAAGTCGGGTGTTCACCCGACCCCTTTCTGACCCTGTGGTTGTTTCAGGTTTACCATACAAGCGACCGTTATCTTAATCTATTGTAAGAAATTTCCCGTGCAAATTTAATTATTAGGACTTAAAGCAAAATACAAACCAAGCACAAAACAACTTAACTGAATTTTGTTGTTGTTGTTGTATTGATATGAATCTATTATAATTGTAACGCAATTTTAGTTATGAAAATTATGTATATAGGTTAAAGTTTTCTATGTTCCTATTTTAACAGGAAATTCTGCTCAAATTTTTTAAAATTTATTTGGTCCAAATTCAGGATGTAAAATTTAAGAAGTTAAAAATCGGAAAAATGAACCATAAAATAGTAGGTTGGAAAGTTTTAATGTTTATTTCAATTAAGTAGGCACCCAATGAATTGTTTTTATAATTTATGTATTGAAAGTGATTGTATTGTTTTTGTGAATAAATATTGTTGTGCATTTTCCCAATTGGAGACACACATACGTTGTGTGAATACAAGGACATTCAAGCAAGTGATAAAGAGAAGATTTGATAGATTAGTCAAGAAATGACTCGGTCGCTATATTTTTGCTAATACTAGCAAATTGATAATTTTGTACTTTATTGTTTATCAAATTGTGATAAATATGTATTATTTAACTAAATTTGGAATTGAACATTTCACACTGATTTTTGTTATAAACTTTATTTGAATACACCAGTGTTTCTGTTGTTACGATGATTGAACTTTTTTTATACTAAGGTTGGAATGTGGCATGATGACGAGTCCAATAATTGGCTTGGGTTGTGAGTGTAACCTATATTAAATTTGTATATTGGTTAATATGTTTTTGAGGTCATGTTTTTGGAAAAAATTTTGTCCAAATTTTTCAAAAAATCAAAGAAATTTTATTTTAATTAAATATTAGTGATTTTTTTTTGTTTAACATAGCATCATGCCTTTAGATACACACATAACTTCTAATGGCATAAATTTGTAAATCTCTTTGAGTTGACTTTTAAAGTAAATCTTTATCTACGTTACTATGAGTTCTAATTAGATATATAGTTTCAAGCATATTAATTTTATTAATTTTTAATTTAAATTTACAAAACTATGTTTATTAAAGTTGAATTTCCTCTATCTCTTCAATTAAAATTTGTATTCATGAGAATATTTGCATCAGTAATATTTTGTATAATATGTATGCAAAATGCAAGTGTATTGAGAATGCAGTTTATGTANAAAAAGAGGGAATTACTTATAGATGAAGGACCTTCAAAGAGAGTACTCGGAGGGTTACAAGAGAGTGCTCGGGAGATGGGAAGAGAACGCTTGGGGGCTGATTGTTGAGGAAAAGGCGAGAATACAAAAGTTTTGAAATGACTCAATCATCTCCTATTTATACCCTGCTGGAGGGGGCGGGAATCGAAAAGACATGTTATAATTAGGAAATTTGAAAAAAAATGGCTCGAGACATGCAGATAACAGCTCATATTTAATAGGCGTGTCTGGTAAACCTCTAATCCCCCTTGCGCCACTTGTCCCATATCACAAAGAGAATGAAGGCTGGGGGCAGTTGACGGGACTTTAGACGGCTCAGTAGCCCCCAAGTCGACACGTGTGAGATTTTAGTCGTTATGGAGTTCAAAGGATGCTGGGGAGTGGAGCCGAGAGATAATGGCTCGGAGAAGTCGAGTATGCTAGCTGACATCCACAGTTAATACGACTTGACCACTCATTTATAGCGATATAAGTGACTGACACTAGGCCATTAATGAGCCTCTACATCCTCAAAGCCTAAGCCTGCAGTCATGATGGCTAGACATTAATGACTCTTGCGCCAAGTGTACCTCAAGGTACTGTTTCCTGGGCATTGAATGTTCAGTAGTAGATGTCAAACCCCGATCAAAGACAGTTGAATGCTCGAGAATAGCCATAAGTGCTCGGCATGTCCCCAAACACTTGTCCTATCATCCTAGTATTAAATATGTGAAGATCTAGGTAGAGAACGCTTAGATCTCGTAGGTAAAAGTGCCAGACATTGAATGTTTAGATGGAACTTGAGGCATTTGCACTCATTACTAATCCAAGTATAAATACTACTCAAAAAAATGAACAAAAGTACGCAAGACTAAACTAAGATAAAAAATACACTGTGCTCAAGCCTCTCATCCTATATTGACTTAAGCTTTAGAGGGGATAAGTCGGGTGTTCACCCGACCCCTTTCTGACCCTGTGGTTGTTTCAGGTTTACCATACAAGCGACCGTTATCTTAATCTATTGTAAGAAATTTCCCGTGCAAATTTAATTATTAGGACTTAAAGCAAAATACAAACCAAGCACAAAACAACTTAACTGAATTTTGTTGTTGTTGTTGTATTGATATGAATCTATTATAATTGTAACGCAATTTTAGTTATGAAAATTATGTATATAGGTTAAAGTTTTCTATGTTCCTATTTTAACAGGAAATTCTGCTCAAATTTTTTAAAATTTATTTGGTCCAAATTCAGGATGTAAAATTTAAGAAGTTAAAAATCGGAAAAATGAACCATAAAATAGTAGGTTGGAAAGTTTTAATGTTTATTTCAATTAAGTAGGCACCCAATGAATTGTTTTTATAATTTATGTATTGAAAGTGATTGTATTGTTTTTGTGAATAAATATTGTTGTGCATTTTCCCAATTGGAGACACACATACGTTGTGTGAATACAAGGACATTCAAGCAAGTGATAAAGAGAAGATTTGATAGATTAGTCAAGAAATGACTCGGTCGCTATATTTTTGCTAATACTAGCAAATTGATAATTTTGTACTTTATTGTTTATCAAATTGTGATAAATATGTATTATTTAACTAAATTTGGAATTGAACATTTCACACTGATTTTTGTTATAAACTTTATTTGAATACACCAGTGTTTCTGTTGTTACGATGATTGAACTTTTTTTATACTAAGGTTGGAATGTGGCATGATGACGAGTCCAATAATTGGCTTGGGTTGTGAGTGTAACCTATATTAAATTTGTATATTGGTTAATATGTTTTTGAGGTCATGTTTTTGGAAAAAATTTTGTCCAAATTTTTCAAAAAATCAAAGAAATTTTATTTTAATTAAATATTAGTGATTTTTTTTTGTTTAACATAGCATCATGCCTTTAGATACACACATAACTTCTAATGGCATAAATTTGTAAATCTCTTTGAGTTGACTTTTAAAGTAAATCTTTATCTACGTTACTATGAGTTCTAATTAGATATATAGTTTCAAGCATATTAATTTTATTAATTTTTAATTTAAATTTACAAAACTATGTTTATTAAAGTTGAATTTCCTCTATCTCTTCAATTAAAATTTGTATTCATGAGAATATTTGCATCAGTAATATTTTGTATAATATGTATGCAAAATGCAAGTGTATTGAGAATGCAGTTTATGTATTTGGTTGAACCTAATATGTATCCATATTAAGTATTTAATTTTCTGGTGTCCATAATTAGTGTTCAATTTTTTTTTAATTGTATTGTACCTTTAGGTACAGATTATCAGCTAGCTCTATAATACAAATGCATGGTTCAAAAAATATACGATTAATATATGGATTTGAAATAATCCTATACGTAATATGGGATCAAATTTGACTAAAAAACAAAATATTAGATACAATTAAACAAATTATAATACATTACAATATTTAATCCACTCATAATACGTCAACCAAAACTTCAGCACTAGGTAGAGCTTGATATTAATTGATAACACATTTGATGTTCGTATTTGTCCCGTGATTCGGGAACCTCCATTTGTAACTCTCCCAAAATCAAAAAAAAAAAAAAAAAAAAAAAAAAAACAACAATGCAACATATACAGAAAGATAATTTCTGAAACACCCCCACCCCCATATAAGTCCAATCCATGCCCACCATCTTCACAACATTATATAGAAAAAACATGGACCAAATTCTAAAAGCTTCAAATGTGGTGGCATCTGGCTTCGGACGAGCTTTTGCATGCCCAGCAGTGCAGAGCATCCACCTGAATCATACTACATAAAAATGCAAAACGAGAACTTAATGAACTGGGCTTTTATTATACACATCGACCGATCTCAGACTAGGGAATTCAAAGCAATAAACCATTTTATTATGGTAATTAGTCAAAAAAAAAAAAAAAAAGGATCCTGAAAATGTACCTAAATGCACAACCGAAATCTGTATAATAAAAAGCAGTGCATCTCAGGGTCAATATGCTAATTACATGTATGTCCAAAAGTCGGATGCAATACTTGATTAAGTGACAAAAACAATTGCAGATATCCACAGATATACATTTGAGGAAAGATTCTGGGTATAATATAGTTTAATTTCACAAACTGCCTATGTATTGATTCTAGAAATTTGTGGTTATGGAGCACTTTGTCAGTAAGCAGATGGCCATCAAGCTCATTATAGTTAGCAGTTGGATTGAAAAAATACCTCCAAGCGATGAAACACATTTAAAATTCAATTGGGACCACATGATCACCCCTCTTGGACCCCGAAGGAAGAAGTCCCATCTGTTCAGTAAGTTGATTCATATGGTTTGACTTGTCCCATTCACTGTCTCGCGCTGTCTGCATCTGTTGTTCCCTATGAAAACCACCTTCCGGCAAGCTAGAATTAATCTCTTCTGTTTCCCTGGTGAGGGGGCTCGCTGAAAGAAACTGTTCCCAGAATACATCATTAATGCCTGGTAGCTTAGGGATCTCATCCAGTAAGATATCAACTTGAGGATCAGCAGAAAACTCATCAGGGACAACAGGCATTGCTGCATCCACAAGTCCTGACATTGTATCCATATAACCCATATCATCACTCTCAGAGGCCTCACAACTAATGTCAGGGACTTCCAAAGTGCTCTTGGACATAATTTCTGGAGTTTGAGTACCATCAAGCACTTCCATTTCAGGAAACTGAGTAACATTACCGATGCTGGATACCACACCAGGAGAAGTATTGATCTCACAAATGGCAGCTGATGGATGATTGACAGAGGATCCGAACTCTGTTGACAGATAAGACCCTGAAGAAGTAGGCAACACCTCCGAAAGGGTCACTCCAGAAATTTGACTAGATGAGCTACCACTGTCAACCACATCAGAAGGAGAAGGCACATTATCAATCAGAAAACCATCTGGATGGTCCATTGTTGGTTCCAGCCTAGTTGATGCATTCATCTGCAGGATTTGCCGCAGCATTGCTTTGGCCGCTTCATTCATTAGAGGCTGGTACTTGACAATCTGTCCATCAGGTGAAGCATTGCCATGCTTGCCCCCTATATTTTCTTCTCCCTGCCTGGGAAGTCTCCTTTTTCTATTTGCACCAGCAATGCGTCTGCTGCTTTCATTCTGCTGCTGTACCAGCTGGGCTAAAAAGCCAGGGCTCTGCATGGCCTTTGCAAGGAATGACATCATTTGTTGCTGCCGTTGCTCCATCAAGTGAACACGCTGCCCAACAGTTTGTAACTGGTGATCCGTTGTTTGCTGCTGCTGTCTCAGCCTAACAAGCTCCTGCATAAGTACATTCTTATCCCCTTTAAGCCTTTCGACCTCTTCTTCAAGCACAAACTTCCCAACTTCAACACAAGACCCAACTGATTTGCTCTGGCCCTGAGGTTGTTCCTGATGACTCTCTACATGACCGGACTTTCGCCTGATTATACTCTTCAAGAGGTGTTTCTGGCCTCTAAGGAATGCCTCATTTGCAAATTCAAAGCGGTCTGAATCAACCTTCCTGAAACCCTGCTTAATCAAAGGGAAAAACTAAATATAAAAAAAAATTAAGGTTGCTCAACCAGAAGAAGTATAAGGAATGTTTATGAAGCAAATTTGCAATGTAATAACACAAGATACAAATTGTCGCCCAAACTTAACTATTTTCAACAAGATAAAAGTAAATCCCTAGAATTTCTTCCCTTAAAATGCATAGCATCAATTCACGGTGTTAATAATTTTAGAGAGTTCATCCAATATCTTAAAGCTAAAATTAAGGGCCACAACATGAGCCGTTTACGGTTACCATGTTCGTTGATGAATTATTAAAAGACATTGTTACCAATGGACCTATAATAACTTTTTCTTCTTCTTTTTTTGGGGGAAAAATACATATAGGCATACCAATTATTTAGATATCATAATATTAACAGAAGAACTTAAGGGCCTGGTCGGAAAACCCAAGAACAAGGACAGTTTAGAATAAGGTTGTTCGACTTGATGTTCACCTGTGTCTGTGTGTGTGTTTGTGCCTGGTAGAGTGTCCTAAATTTTCTAGTGAAAAGATAAGTCAAATCAAGCTTTTTTCAAAATCGGTTCTACATAGGATATTCCCACAAACCACTAGATAATAAGCTGAAACCTCCATTTCCAAATATTCCCAAACAACCATAAGGAGGAAAAAGTAACTATATAGATCTTAAAACAAGAGCTCCACAATTAAAGCTCCTAAAGTTCAATGTGCTGAATCTAAAACACAGTGCTGCACTACATACATGCTTCTAACAAGTAACCAATGGGATAACAAGCTATGATGTCCAAATAGAACTCATAGGCCTGGTCACTCTGTCTTTTTCTTTTTCTTTATCTATTTTCTATGGAAAGAGGGGATGTCTTGCAAGAAGCTATAATAATTCCAAGTTCTAAAATGTCCAGTTAAAGTGATTGCATGTTATGTAGGACTACCCAATGACTCATGAAAATTTCGTGCTTATGCTTGCATGGACAACAGCACCGAAAAATATTTTGGCACGGCCAAATAAAAAGCAATACATCAGCGAGTTATACGCGTCTTAGAAAAGATATTTCAAATTGAAAAGATAACACTCAAATCGATTAGGAATAATGCTCTGCAAGTAATTTCAACCACACACATTGAGCAAGTCATATTTCCTCAAGGACATCACTAGAACGGTCACGGCCTTATAATAATAAGAACTACATCAATTTTAGGGCTACCAATTTGTGAANCGTCTTAGAAAAGATATTTCAAATTGAAAAGATAACACTCAAATCGATTAGGAATAATGCTCTGCAAGTAATTTCAACCACGCACATTGAGCAAGTCATATTTCCTCAAGGACATCACTAGAATGGTCACGGCCTTATAATAATAAGAACTACATCAATTTTAGGGCTACCAATTTGTGAAACAAATTTTATTAAGGAGAAAAAAGCTTTGGTTAAATGCCTAATCCACAACCCCCATTTAATGAAAAAACAACTAATTATATTCAACCAATTCACACGATTTGAACTATATCTCCAAGACACTCACCCAGAATTTGGGCCTGATTACTGAACTTGTCCCAGCCTTTTCGCTGAACATTCTGTATTCAGAAAAAATTCTAGTCCCTAAATCTTGAAAACATAGCTCAGGCACTCCTAAGACGTACAGAACACAAACAGATCCTAAACAAGCAATCAACACCCAAATACCCAAATAAAAGTATCCAAAAAAACATAATATAGAGTATTCCAGAACTAAATACCCAAATAAATCAACAGTGATGAATAGATTAAAATACACCCACATAAGTATTGAGCTGTCTGACGAAGCTAGAAAAATTGCTGTGCTTGAAATACTTGGGTAAAATATCTCTGGTAAATTCCGGCACGTTCCACACTACAAAACTGTTGTTACTGTTACTCCAGGACACCACTGAGTCCGTCGTGGGATCGGCCACCATGTCGTACGTCTTGCTCAGGAACGGCGGCGGAACATTCGCAATCGAGCTCGCCACCGAACTCGGAAGGTTGCCGTTGTCGTCCATACAGGTGCTCATAAAACTTAATCAACAGCAGTAACAAAAGATCAAACAAGTTACAATTCGCCAACTACACCACCAACACGAGAAATCCGTTGTGTGGGAGAGAAGGTCTAGTCACACGCCATACATATAGAGAGAGAGGAAAACCCTAAATCAGAGAACGAATGTCGTTGCACGATCACCAAAGGAAACAGGAGGAGGAGGAGGGAGAGAAGAAGAAGAAGAAATAGTGACCGAAGGAACTGGCACGAAGCGGTGGAAAAGAGCCCGCGAGAAGAGTCTAAATCTAAACTCTGAAGACTATATATTANAGGGAGAAAAGAAGAAGAAGAAATAGTGACCGAAGGAACTGGCACGAAGCGGTGGAAAAGAGCCCNGAGAGAAGAAGAAGAAGAAATAGTGACCGAAGGAACTGGCACGAAGCGGTGGAAAAGAGCCCGCGAGAAGAGTCTAAATCTAAACTCTGAAGACTATATATTAGAGAGAGTAAATTGATATAAAAATTAATTTAAATTTTAAGTGATATAAGTAATATAATTTAGGGGTTATCTTATCTATGCAATTCCTCTTCTTAAATATTGATCGGTCCTCCTATTTTTCTCAAATTACCCCTAATATTTAATACAATTTTAAATCACTTCCACGACTCACCTCCTGCGTGGGCGTGGCACTAAAACCAAATAAAAGCAAGCAAGCCAGCCTATCCTTTCATATCCATATTACTTTGTCCGTCGTTACATTGGCGCCCTTCGGGTAACAAGAGAGAGAGAGAGAGAGAGAGAGAGAGACGATGCCAATCACACTGAAAGCGCCCGATTGCTTCTCCAGTTCCATGATTTTTTCTTGCTGTTCTTCTTCGTCTCGTGACAAACCACCAAGCTTATTCAGGAGCTTTAATTTGAACACGCGTATCAAAGCTCCGCGAATGTTCAGACGCTACAGGGCGAATTTGATCACGAATCCAGATTCCTTCGAAGTAGGAAGGCTCATTGGGAGTTATGGCTTCATGAACATCACTAGGTATTTCTTGCTTTTTCTTTCATCTTTATTACTTTTCAGTTTCTTTTTTATTCCTTTTCCATTTGTTATCTCTACAAGCATCGTGCAAATACTTACCATCTGGTTAGGAATACTAAGAAATATTATGCATTATGACAGTGGACACTCTGGAATTTGTTTCAGATTCTAAAACTCATGGGCCGCTCGGTTATGTTCTAGGAAAAAAGTATGCCAATACGTGTATTTTAAACAAAACCATACGAGTAAAGTATCAAATTAATGCCATCCTTTTTCAAATAACAAATAAATAAATAAATAATTGCCGAAATTCTATACTTACAACAATTATTGGTGCCTCCAAATTTTGATATAATCAACATCTTTTTCTTATTTTTTTACTTACTTGTTGGTGTGTTAAGGTTGAAGTATAATTTTTTTTGAGCGGTTTAAGGTTTGTATTCTTCAAGTATGAGTCATGTTTCAACTTGGTTCTTGAAATTCCAATTGGAACAATCAAGTCCTCAATGTTTTAATTGATTTCAATACCATAACAATATTTTCCAATTTTTTATTTTTGGTATTTCAAAATTAAAATGAAGATTTTGTTGCTGAATTGGTTCTCGACATGAGGTGCATATCTTGTTGGATTAACTCAAATCAAGCCCATCCTTTTTCTATTTATTGAAATGGTTGATTATGTATGAGCCACATTTTAGGCCATTTGGACATGAGTTTTTCTTAGTTTCAAAACAATGCTAGCTCACCCTGCATGTACCTATTTATACTCGTTGTCGTGGTATTGCATATTCCAGGCACAAAACAAAATGTCCCTTTGGTAGGAGTTCATATTTATGGTCNTCATGCATGTACCTATTTATACTCGTTGTCGTGGTACTGCATATTCCAGGCACAAAACAAAATGTCCCTTTGGTAGGAGTTCATATTTATGGTCAAGGCATTACGCACGGAACAAACTGCAAAAATGATCACATCATCACTGACATATTTAGAGACTTAAGAGCATAAAACAACATTTGATATTTAGAATAAGGATATCTTTGCTGTTGTCCACTGGGTGAAGGCAGTAGGAATTATCGCTGAAGAGGTGTCGAGCTTGATGATATAATTCTTTATATTGTAGCATAATTGTTTTGCTTTGTACATTTGGTATCATTTTCATACTTTGTTTTGTTGGATAGTGCATCTATTAAAATTGTTTGGGTCAAGTTAAAATTTTGGGTCAACTATGTTTATGTTCTTTGGGTTAAGTGCTCAAGTTTTATGATCTCTTGCTTTTATTTACTTTTCCTTTTCCTTATCCTTTTGATTTTGATTCTTTAAACCATTTCTTGTTGAATTTGATTGAGGACAAGTTTTTTATGTAGTTACTCGGGCTTTCAGTCACGATTGGACATTGAGTATCCATCAGAAGATATGAGGATATTGAGAGTTCAAGATGTAGGAGAAGGCAACGTGAAGATCAGGTACATTCCATGGATATTTTCATCAGATATAGGAACAAGGATCCAATAGCTGAAAATTAAAAAGCGGAAAATGATATTTGGTGTGACAAATACACAATTTCAGCATTGTTATTCATCATTCTTCTTGCTACTAATATTGTACATGGCAGTGCTTCTGCAGGCTTTATGAAGGAAGAATAGCTCAGGGCTCACTTAGGGGTACTCCGGTTATATTCAAGGTGATGATTATCTTAATAGTAGTAGTACTTGTATCTTCTTTTGTAAGTTATGACTTCATATGCTATATTTATATTTATATTTATACTACTAATAAAAGTACGTTAAGATGAAAAACTTTTGAATCTTTATTTTACCCTCATAAAAGATTGCAAAGACCACCACTCTATCATTTCACAATCAAATATCTAAATTATCATCGTATCATTATATATTTAAAATTTCAAATTATTTATAACATCTCTTTTAATTATTTATTCTCTATGTATAAATATCAGTTTCTATAAAAAACTTCGATTAACTATATTACCCTTAAAAAAATGCATCATTAGATTTTCAATAAAGTGTTTAAAAAAAATTCAAAAACTTTATTAATCCAATATTACTCATCATTTGTGTATATAATATTATGCCTAAATATGTGTATTTTTTTTTTTTATCAAAAAGTTTAATTCTTTTATTTCTAAGATAAAAAATAATCATATATATAGTTTTTTTAAAAACAATTATGTTACATTAGTATAATTCTTCAATCACAATAAACTTTCTAAGTCATACTAAGATTTTATGTAAAAATAAATATTATAGTATATTTTTAAGTAAAATTTAAATTTTGTAGAATTTTAATGTGCTTGATAATATATATTATAGAGTTGTATATTACATTTTATCCTAATTGACCAAACTAATTCCTAATTACAATAAGGTTTCAATGTGATTAGTATATTGATAATTATTTTTATTTTATTCAAAGAATTATAAGAATCCTAATCAAACGAATTTCAAGAAATTTAATTTCTCAGACATCACTACAAAATCAATCTCAAACACAATATTTTTTTTTAATTTTTTTATATAGTTAGAACAAAGAATTTTTGGAACATATAAAGTTTTCATACCTTATAATAGAATATGAGCAATTGATAAATTTGAGATGATAATTAATTTGAATACATATATACTTAATATATTTTATTAATTTTTGTGTATAAAAAATATTCACGTGCAACGCACGTGGTGCATTGCTAATACTTGAGACGACTATATGCTACTTTGTTAATTACACATCAACAACACTGTATATAAAGGCATTTGATAAGGCTGCCCATTGTGATGCTTCCTCTTGTACCAACCAAAAAATCAGACTTTTTTCTTTTTTATCTTTTTCTTTAATTTATGTTGTGAGTGAAAATGACAAGTTTAGCNTAGTATAATTCTTCAATCACAATAAACTTTCTAAGTCGTACTAAGATTTTATATAAAAATAAATATTATAGTATATTTTTAAGTAAAATTTAAATATTGTAGAATTTTAATGTGCTTGATAATATATATTATAGAGTTGTATATTACATTTTATCCTAATTGACCAAACTAATTCCTAATTACACAATAAGGTTTCAATGTGATTAGTATATTGATAATTATTTTTATTTTATTCAAAGAATTATAAGAATCCTAATCAAACGAATTTCAAGAAATTTAATTTCTCAGACATCACTACAAAATCAATCTCAAACACAATATTTTTTTTTAATTTTTTTATATAGTTAGAACAAAGAATTTTTGGAACATATAAAGTTTTCATACCTTATAATAGAATATGAGCAATTGATAAATTTGAGATGATAATTAATTTGAATACATATATACTTAATATATTTTATTAATTTTTGTGTATAAAAAATATTCACGTGCAACGCACGTGGTGCATTGCTAATACTTGAGACGACTATATGCTACTTTGTTAATTACACATCAACAACACTGTATATAAAGGCATTTGATAAGGCTGCCCATTGTGATGCTTCCTCTTGTACCAACCAAAAAATCAGACTTTTTTCTTTTTTATCTTTTTCTTTAATTTATGTTGTGAGTGAAAATGACAAGTTTAGCCATCTAAAGTCCTTTGCTTTTGTATTCCTTTTATCAAGCTTGGATTTATTTATTTTGAAATTTAGATAATACATGTTAGAATGCTAATATATATTATCTACAAACAACGAGAAAAGTATATACAAACTTGCTAAATTTAGAGAAAGAAAAACTAGATATTTTAATCATATTAAATGTATTAAGAGTAAAGACTCTAGGATTTCGGTACAAAAAGAGGAAATCAAAAGAAGATGGAAGAATTCATTTGAAAATGTATTAAATGAAAATTATATATTGAGCTTAGATATTGAGGAATATAGAAATCATTAAAAAATTAGAAAAAACATATTTTTTTTGTAGAATTATGATCTCCAAAGGAATTGAGGCTTCAAAGAAAATGAAAATAAGGATAGCTTTAGGACCTGATGGTATGCCAATTGAGGTTTAGAAGTGTTTAGGGGATGTTGGGATATCCTGGTTAATTAAATTATTTTATAAGATTATAATGACTAAGAAAATATCCAATAAGTAAAGGAAGAGCATTTTAGTACCTACATATAAGAATAAATGAGACATACCAAATTACTGAGGTATTAAAAGAATTAGTCATACAATAAAACTTTGAAAGAGAGTGATTAAGTAAAGACTAAGGCTTAAAGCAACGGTATCTAAGAATCAACTTGGATTTATACTTGGGAGATCAACAATGGAAGTTGTATGTTTACTTCAAAGACTAATAGAAATTTATGGGAAAAAAATAAGGATTTTTATATAGGTATTCTAATGTGATTAATGATATGTACGAAAATCGGATGACTTTAGTGAGAACAACAACAAAAGAGACTGATAAATTCTCCTTCACTGTAGGCTCCAGTTTAAAAGCTAAAGATCAAGAGATACCAAAGAGTGAACACTTTTGATATTTAGAGTTTTTTATTCATAAAGCGTGTGAGATTGGTGACAATGTTGCTCATAGAATTAAAGCATGATGAAATAAATTGAGGAATGCATCCCATGTATTATGTGGTAGACTCATACCCTTNTTGAATAAGTTGCATAACATCATATATTTATCAACTTTTTTTTTGTCACTTACATTTTATCCAGTCAATTGGCTTTCTAGGTATTCTCAGCTACAAGAAGGTTCAGGAGGATTGTCAGAAGGACTTTGGAGACGGGCATCTGCTGCTGGTGNAACCTAAAAATCTGACCTAATTTTCTGATATAATGATGTGGCTTCAGTAGAACCATTAGATGAACACCAAATTCTAATATTTGATGGGCCCTACAGTTAATCCAAAGGTCATAGTGAATTAGGTCAATAAATTGGGTCCCAATAGCGTTGCTCTATTATGATTTGTACCAGTTTGGAACTGGAAAATTGTTGAAGTGTATAAATGCTTATATTGCTTCTCTTTCTTATCTATGAAAGCAATTAGATGAGATGGCTATTCACACGCTTACAAACCCTAACACTTCTAGNAAAAACATATTTTTTTTGTAGAATTATGATCTCCAAAGGAATTGAGGCTTCAAAGAAAATGAAAATAAGGATTGCTTTAGGACCTGATGGTATGCCAGTTGAGGTTTAGAAGTGTTTAGGGGATGTTGGGATATCCTGGTTAATTAAATTATTTTATAAGATTATAATGACTAAGAAAATATCCAATAAGTAAAGGAAGAGCATTTTAGTACCTACATATAAGAATAAATGAGACATACCAAATTACTGAGGTATTAAAAGAATTAGTCATACAATAAAACTTTGAAAGAGAGTGATTAAGTAAAGACTAAGGCTTAAAGCAACGGTATCTAAGAATCAACTTGGATTTATACTTGGGAGATCAACAATGGAAGTTGTATGTTTACTTCAAAGACTAATAGAAATTTATGGGAAAAAAATAAGGATTTTTATATAGGTATTCTAATGTGATTAATGATATGTACGAAAATCGGATGACTTTAGTGAGAACAACAACAAAAGAGACTGATAAATTCTCCTTCACTGTAGGCTCCAGTTTAAAAGCTAAAGATCAAGAGATACCAAAGAGTGAACACTTTTGATATTTAGAGTTTTTTATTCATAAAGCGTGTGAGATTGGTGACAATGTTGCTCATAGAATTAAAGCATGATGAAATAAATTGAGGAATGCATCCCATGTATTATGTGGTAGACTCATACCCTTTAAGCTGAAATGAAAGTTCTACAGAATGGTCATAAGATCAACTATACTTTATGGTATTGAGTGTTGGGCATATAAGAAACAATACGTTCAAAAATCAAGTGTGNGAGTGACATGGGATGGATATGGGTTAACGCATGGAGTTTCTCCCTGTGGCCCAACCTGGTTCTTTGACCTCAGGACTTTTCTCCCAGCTGTCAGATGATTTGGCAGGGGTAGCATTCCAGAGAGAACTGAAATTTGCTTAGTTCAAATTATGCCCAATTCCATTCCTAGCACTTGATCACACTTACCTCTTTAATTAGTTAAAATTTTCTTTGGGGAAAAATTGGAAAAATGCAGTACTTATACTGATGAATAAGTTGCATAACATCATATATTTATCAACTTTATTTTTGTCACTTACATTTTATCCAGTCAATTGGCTTTCTAGGTATTCTCAGCTAGAAGAAGGTTCAGGAGGATTGTCAGAAGGACTTTGGAGACGGGCATCTGCTGCTGGTGCTTTTACTCCTATGGATAAAAGAACGTTTGGAATCGCAGATGACATGTAAATTCATTGATAATGAATTACAGTCATCAGATGGAGTTTATAAACTATAGATGTTGATGTATTACTTTTTTTCTCTTTGCAGATATGAAGCTGGCCTTCTTTTTGCATACTTAGCTTTCATTCCCTTTTCTGAAGCAGGAATCATGGATAGCCTTTCACTGCAAGTGAGCTACTATCTAGTGTTCCATTTGTCTTTTTAGCAAAGATAATTTTTTTTTCTGTTCATATAATAACAACAGGTGCAGGTCTTCCACTATTGTAATCTTTTATGCCAATTACTTGCAGAGGCTTCTAGAGAGCACTTTTCAACTTGACCTTGAAGCTACAAGAGAGTAAGAAAAGTTATCATTTATTCTATGATTCAAAGTAATGATCACTGCAAGGTCACATGTGTATATATACATATTTTGCGCACATGTGTATGTTTGAACTTGGCAGTAAGAAGATATCTACCCTGCCCTCAGAATGCATGAATCTGGTTGAAATGAGAACTTGTGTCATGACCAATGTAACTTGGATGGTGGTCAATTTGGTACGTGATAGGATACTTCTTCCAATATGTGGTATGGTGNGACCTAAAAATCTGACCTAATTTTCTGACATAATGATGTGGCTTCAGTAGAACCATTAGATGAATACCAAATTCCAATGTTTGATGGGCCCTACAGTTAATCCAAAGGTCATAGTGAATTAGGTCAATAAATTAGGTCCCAATAGCGTTGCTCTATTATGATTTGTACCAGTTTGGAACTGGAAAATTGTTGAAGTGTATAAATGCTTATATTGCTTCTCTCTCTTATCTATGAAAGCAATTAGATGAGATGGCTATTCACACGCTTACAAACCCTAACACTTCTAGGAATATAGCATGTTATTAGCAAAGGCTCTTCTTGTGTATCTTCTTACAAAAAATACGATTAGGCGGCCTGAACATCATTGTTTGGAACTTGTTTCAAACTAGGTGGTGTGAGATTTTGGGGGATGACTCCCACCACATTAGCTGCCAGTGTCCCAGGTCACCGCTCTTCTAGATTGGGCTGTACGAAGGATGCACAGACTACATGACCTCCACACCATGAGGTCCAGTGAGTCTGATTCCATTTGTAATGCACTAGGCCCGCATTATAGAATATTTTCCATTTTTGGATAGTTCTGCATAGTTTTAAACCCACAGTGTGCAATATTGTCCACTTTGGGTTAGGTCCACATGGTTCTAAAATGCATTGTTCAATGAAGGTGCGTTGTTCAATGAAGGTCCAAAAGTAATACTTATTAAGCACTTCATACAAACTTCACCATAGTGACATGGGATGGATATGGGTTAACGCATGGAGTTTCTCCCTGTGGCCCAACCTGGTTCTTTGACCTCAGGACTTTTCTCCCAGCTGTCAGATGATTTGGCAGGGGTAGCATTCCAGAGAGAACTGAAATTTGCTTAGTTCAAATTATGCCCAATTCCATTCCTAGCACTTGATCACACTTACCTCTTTAATTAGTTAAAATTTTCTTTGGGGAAAAATTGGAAAAATGCAGTACTTATACTGTTGAATAAGTTGCATAACATCATATATTTATCAACTTTTTTTTTGTCACTTACATTTTATCCAGTCAATTGGCTTTCTAGGTATTCTCAGCTACAAGAAGGTTCAGGAGGATTGTCAGAAGGACTTTGGAGACGGGCATCTGCTGCTGGTGCTTTTACTCCTATGGATAAAAGAACGTTTGGAATCGCAGATGACATGTAAATTCATTGATAATGAATTACAGTCATCAGATGGAGTTTATAAACTATAGATGTTGATGTATTACTTTTTTTCTCTTTGCAGATATGAAGCTGGCCTTCTTTTTGCATACTTAGCTTTCATTCCCTTTTCTGAAGCAGGAATCATGGATAGCCTTTCACTGCAAGTGAGCTACTATCTAGTGTTCCATTTGTCTTTTTAGCAAAGATAATTTTTTTTTCTGTTCATATAATAACAACAGGTGCAGGTCTTCCACTATTGTAATCTTTTATGCCAATTACTTGCAGAGGCTTCTAGAGAGCACTTTTCAACTTGACCTTGAAGCTACAAGAGAGTAAGAAAAGTTATCATTTATTCTATGATTCAAAGTAATGATCACTGCAAGGTCACATGTGTATATATACATATTTTGCGCACATGTGTATGTTTGAACTTGGCAGTAAGAAGATATCTACCCTGCCCTCAGAATGCATGAATCTGGTTGAAATGAGAACTTGTGTCATGACCAATGTAACTTGGATGGTGGTCAATTTGGTACGTGATAGGATACTTCTTCCAATATGTGGTATGGTGAGAGTAGATTTAATTTTAGTTAGTGCTAATTGTATGCAGTCACATTAGTCACAATTGCTGATTGAACTTATTGTGGTTAGATTGTATAATTTCTTACGTGCCATGTCTACAATTTGCATGTTCCTAGAAGTCATCCTTTGTATGTTGGCACTATTTTACCTTCAACCATTTAAGTTTGTTTGCCCACATTTTTTGGTAGGTATTGCTTAGCTGATGAATGTTTGTTAGAAGCTGTCAAATTTCTGGATATTGGTGACGGTGCCGGTTGGGAGTTACTGCAGGTTCAGTTATAAACTCCAACAATTATGACTAATATTGCTCTCATTTTGACAATTGCAGAATATATATATCTGATAAACGTTTCCAAATCCCGTGGAGCTNGGTATGGTGAGAGTTGATTTAATTTTAGTTAGTGCTAATTGTATGCAGTCACATTAGTCACAATTGCTGATTGAACTTATTGTGGTTAGATTGTATGAATTTCTTACGTGCCATGTCTACAATTTGCATGTTCCTAGAAGTCATCCTTTGTATGTTGGCACTATTTTACCTTCAACCATTTAAGTTTGTTTGCCCACATTTTTTGGTAGGTATTGCTTAGCTGATGAATGTTTGTTAGAAGCTGTCAAATTTCTGGATATTGGTGACGGTGCCGGTTGGGAGTTACTGCAGGTTCAGTTATAAACTCCAACAATTATGACTAATATTGCTCTCATTTTGACAATTGCAGAATATATATATCTGATAAACGTTTCCAAATCCCGTGGAGCTGAGAATGGTATTAGTTATGCATGTGTGTTAGATCACACAAGTCATGGACTAAAGATATTTGCAATCAAAGCCAAAAAATAATTGATGACGACAAGTACCTTTGTTAATGATATACGATTGCAATCATGCTCATTTGCATATGAAGTTGTTGATTTCACTCAAAGATGTGTTGTCCACACTACACTTCTTAATATATAGCCTAAACCAGACTCTCTAGTCTTAACAAACCATATCTTTTATACATCCATAATATGTGAGACATTTCCATATTTATTATTGCTGTTTTCATAGTTGACGTCACATAGCTAGCTAGCTTCATCCTTCTGTTCGGCTTAACAGATCAAATACCTGCTAGCTTAGCCAGTAAAAGTCGGTGTGGTACTAGATCCACTTGATTCTTAAGTTCACGTTTCTTCTGCTAGGTTGGGGAAGGTAAACTGATAAACCTCTCTCTCTCTCTCTCTCTCTGTGTCTATCTCGCACACAACACAGACAGAGTGAGTGACAANGAAGGTAAACTGATAAACCTCTCTCTCTCTCTTTCTCTCTCTCTCTCTCTGTGTCTATCTCGCACACAACACAGACAGAGTGAGTGACAATGTATACACTCGTCTACGGTGGCAGAATTTTCTATTCACCACTGTTGTTGTCGACAATTTGGCCCCTTTTTCATGTTTTGATGTGGTCGATTAACAAAAATTATGGTTTCCTGTTTTTTGATGTGGTTGATTATAATTTGGAATTGTTTGTCTGAGTGCAGGCGATGCTGAATCGTGACTATAGGAAAAGGCCAATTGCAGAAGCGGTATTGAACCATCCTTTTGTAGCTGGAGCTGTTCTTGATTTCTAGGGTTAAACATGGAGATATTGTATTTGTTAATTAATACAGAGTAGTAAAGTCGGCTTGATCCAAAAATAAAAAAAAGAGAGGTGAAGTTGCAATAGCTCTGTCACACAGCATTAAAATGTGGCAGCATGTAGTTTGAGAAGTAGAACCAATAAAGTCATGTTGAGGCAATGTATGGAGAACATTTTACGCTTGGGTTTGTCCATTTAAACAATAGAATGAATATTTCATAAAAAAAATCTTGCAAATTTTTCAGGTAAATCAAATACATGTATGAGAACATGTATTTTTTTCCTTTCTTTTATTTTATTTTTTATTAGATTCTTTTTCTATTTCACTTTTTATTACCCGTTTTACTCTCTATAGGACGGTTTAGGAGACGAAACCACCTTGAACGTGGGCTTTTTGGTGCCTAGATAGTTGACACCATATAAAATTCTATCATGACTTGGCAATCTAAGGGGCGGTCTAAGACTGTTTGAGGTTGTTCCTGAGATTAAAAGTTTCAGTATTACAAATGAAACTTTTAATTTTTAATATTAATAATTTTTTATTAATTTTTTTTTTAAGATTAAAAGTAGTCTAATCTTTGTTGTGATAATCGATCTTAGGAAATATTTTATCAATTTTAATTTTAAACAATCATAATCTATTGATTTTAATTTTTATAGTTTAATAAAAAAATATTTTGGTTTATTTTTCATAATAGAAATAAAAAAAAATGTAACATAAAAAAGAAGAAGATAATTTGTAGGGAAAATTTCAACCTCACCCCTCCTAATTTACTATATCTTTAATGACACCTATTTTATTTTCTGAATCTTCATTGACTCAAATTTTAATTGACACGAATTTTAATAAATAAAAAAATATTAATTTTAATCGACTCGAAGGCGAATTTTTATCGACGCTAACAATTCGGCTCAAATTTTAATATGTAAAAATAATTTTTAATATGCTTGAATTTTAATACGTTTAAAAAATTTTAATTTAATTACCTTTAATTGAATTTTAATATGTAAAAAAAAAATTAATCGGCTCAAATTTTAATAAAATTTTATGTAAAAAAATTAATTGAGGTTTATGTAGGGGCATTTTTGGTATTTTAAATGATTTTTTTTTTGTTTGAAAGGGTAGTTTAATGATAGGGGTTCAATGGTACTCCTTGTGAAAGTTTTGTCTTCTTTAGGTTAAAGATTCAAGTCTTCTTTCTCTCCAAAAAAAAAAAAAGTTAAAAAAAAAATAATGATAGGGGTGTTAATGATGTTTAAATATAAACTAGAAGGGGGTGTCATTGACTTTTTTATAATAGAGGGGATGTTCTTAAAGATATAGTAAATTAGGAGAGGTGTGACTGAAATTTTTCCTACAAATTATCTTTTTTTTTTGTGTTACAATTTTTTTTTATTTCTATTTAAAAAAATAAACTAAAATATTTTTTTTATTAAACTATAAAAATTAAAATCAATAGATTATGATTGTTTAAAATTAAAATTGATAAAATATTTCCTAAGATCGATTATCACAACAAAGATTAGACTCCTTTTAATCTTAAAAAATAATTTTTAAATAAAAAATTATTAATTTTAAAAATTAAAAGTCTCATTTGTAAGAATGAGACTTTTAATCTCAGGAGCTACCTCAGTCTTAGGGCGCCCTGAGATTGCCAAGTCATGATAAAATTTTATACGGTATCTACTATCTAGGCACCAGAAAGCCCACGTACAGGGTGGTTTCATCCCCTAAAATGTCCTATGGAGAGTGAAACGGGTAATAAAAAGTGAAATAGAAAAGGAATCTGATAAAAAATAAAATAAAGGAAGAAAAAAAACATGTTCTCATTCATGTATTTGATTTACCTGAAAAATTTGCAAGATTTTTTTTATTAAATATTCATTTATTGTTTAAATGGACAAACTCCAGCGTAAAATGTTCTCCATACATTACCTCAACATGATTTTATTGGTTCTACTTCTCAAACTACATGCTGCCACATTTTAATGCTGTGTCATTGATGATTAAAAAAATAGAGGGGTGTTCTTGAATATATGATAAATTAGAAAGAGTGTAATTAAAATTTTCTCTAATTTGTATTTATTGTTGAGTGAGTGAGAGAGAGAGGACATTAGTTTACTAGAGATAGAATGATTACAGATAAATGGTATGTTTTGGTTGACTAGTTAAAATTATTTTTTTATACTTAGCTCTTTTTTTTTTTTATAATTTATTGTAATATATTTTTAATATTATGGGTTGGATTCATGAACTCAAATTATTCAAATTTATTTTTGATTGAGTTTAAATTTTCATAAGACTTTTTTGAAGAATTAAAATTTATGGATTTAAAAAATTTAATTCAGATTAATTATATACCTAAAATATTTGAGGCCTTTTTTGAAATATGGGGCTAAAGCCTGGGCTTTGTGACAGGACCGGCCCTAGGCAATCTTGTAATTTAAAATTTTAAACATACATTTACAGCTGGGTAGATGAACAGAAGCACATAAAAAAACATGACAATGTGAGTGAGAAGAGGAGGGAGGGAGAAAAACAGGAAAAAAAAAAAGNCAGGTAAATCAAATACATGTATGAGAACATGTATTTTTTTCCTTTCTTTTATTTTATTTTTTATTAGATTCTTTTTCTATTTCACTTTTTATTACCCGTTTTACTCTCTATAGGACGGTTTAGGAGACGAAACCACCTTGAACGTGGGCTTTTTGGTGCCTAGATAGTTGACACCATATAAAATTCTATCATGACTTGGCAATCTAAGGGGCGGTCTAAGACTGTTTGAGGTTGTTCCTGAGATTAAAAGTTTCAGTATTACAAATGAAACTTTTAATTTTTAATATTANGGACACCATATAAAATTCTGTCATGACTTGGCAATCTAAGGGGCGGTCTAAGACTGTTTGAGGCTGTTCCTGAGATTAAAAGTTTCAGTATTACAAATGAAACTTTTAATTTTTAATATTAATAATTTTTTATTAATTTTTTTTTTAAGATTAAAAGTAGTCTAATCTTTGTTGTGATAATCGATCTTAGGAAATATTTTATCAATTTTAATTTTAAACAATCATAATCTATTGATTTTAATTTTTATAGTTTAATAAAAAAATATTTTGGTTTATTTTTCATAATAGAAATAAAAAAAAATGTAACATAAAAAAGAAGAAGATAATTTGTAGGGAAAATTTCAACCTCACCCCTCCTAATTTACTATATCTTTAATGACACCTATTTTATTTTCTGAATCTTCATTGACTCAAATTTTAATTGACACGAATTTTAATAAATAAAAAAATATTAATTTTAATCGACTCGAAGGCGAATTTTTATCGACGCTAACAATTCGGCTCAAATTTTAATATGTAAAAATAATTTTTAATATGCTTGAATTTTAATACGTTTAAAAAATTTTAATTTAATTACCTTTAATTGAATTTTAATATGTAAAAAAAAAATTAATCGGCTCAAATTTTAATAAAATTTTATGTAAAAAAATTAATTGAGGTTTATGTAGGGGCATTTTTGGTATTTTAAATGATTTTTTTTTTGTTTGAAAGGGTAGTTTAATGATAGGGTTCAATGGTACTCCTTTTGAAAGTTTTGTCTTTTTTAGGTTAAAGATTCAAGTCTTCTTTCTCTCCAAAAAAAAAAAANTTATGTAGGGGCATTTTTGGTATTTTAAATGATTTTTTTTTTGTTTGAAAGGGTAGTTTAATGATAGGGGTTCAATGGTACTCCTTGTGAAAGTTTTGTCTTCTTTAGGTTAAAGATTCAAGTCTTCTTTCTCTCCAAAAAAAAAAAAAGTTAAAAAAAAAATAATGATAGGGGTGTTAATGATGTTTAAATATAAACTAGAAGGGGGTGTCATTGACTTTTTTATAATAGAGGAAATGTTCTTAAAGATATAGTAAATTAGGAGAGGTGTGACTGAAATTTTTCCTACAAATTATCTTTTTTTTTTGTGTTACAATTTTTTTTTATTTCTATTTAAAAAAATAAACTAAAATATTTTTTTTATTAAACTATAAAAATTAAAATCAATAGATTATGATTGTTTAAAATTAAAATNTTTTTGTGTTACAATTTTTTTTATTTCTATTTAAAAAAATAAACTAAAATATTTTTTTTATTAAACTATAGAAATTAAAATCAATAGATTATGATTGTTTAAAATTAAAATTGATAAAATATTTCCTAAGATCGATTATCACAACAAAGATTNGTGTTACAATTTTTTTTTATTTCTATTTAAAAAAATAAACTAAAATATTTTTTTTATTAAACTATAAAAATTAAAATCAATAGATTATGATTGTTTAAAATTAAAATTGATAAAATATTTCCTAAGATCGATTATCACAACAAAGATTAGACTCCTTTTAATCTTAAAAAATAATTTTTAAATAAAAAATTATTAATTTTAAAAATTAAAAGTCTCATTTGTAAGAATGAGACTTTTAATCTCAGGAGCGACCTCAAACAGTCTTAGGGCGCCCTGAGATTGCCAAGTCATGATAAAATTTTATATGGTATCTACTATCTAGGCACCAGAAAGCCCACGTACAGGGTGGTTTCATCCCCTAAANTTTAAAAATTAAAAGTCTCATTTGTAAGAATGAGACTTTTAATCTCAGGAGCTACCTCAGTCTTAGGGCGCCCTGAGATTGCCAAGTCATGATAAAATTTTATACGGTATCTACTATCTAGGCACCAGAAAGCCCACGTACAGGGTGGTTTCATCCCCTAAAATGTCCTATGGAGAGTGAAACGGGTAATAAAAAGTGAAATAGAAAAGGAATCTGATAAAAAATAAAATAAAGGAAGAAAAAAAACATGTTCTCATTCATGTATTTGATTTACCTGAAAAATTTGCAAGATTTTTTTTATTAAATATTCATTTATTGTTTAAATGGACAAACTCCAGCGTAAAATGTTCTCCATACATTACCTCAACATGATTTTATTGGTTCTACTTCTCAAACTACATGCTGCCACATTTTAATGCTGTGTCATTGATGATTAAAAAAATAGAGGGGGTGTTCTTGAATATATGATAAATTAGAAAGAGTGTAATTAAAATTTTCTCTAATTTGTATTTATTGTTGAGTGAGTGAGAGAGAGAGGACATTAGTTTACTAGAGATAGAATGATTACAGATAAATGGTATGATTTGGTTGACTAGTTAAAATTATTTTTTTATACTTAGCTCTTTTTTTTTTTTAATAATTTATTGTAATATATTTTTAATATTATGGGTTGGATTCATGAACCCAAATTATTCAAATTTATTTTTGATTGAGTTTAAATTTTCATAAGACTTTTTTGAAGAATTAAAATCTTATGGATTTAAAAAATTTAATTCAGATTAATTATATACCTAAAATATTTGAGGCCTTTTTTGAAATATGGGGCTAAAGCCTGGGCTTTGTGACAGGACCGGCCCTAGGCAATCTTGTAATTTAAAATTTTAAACATACATTTACAGCTGGGTAGATGAACAGAAGCACATAAAAAAACATGACAATGTGAGTGAGAAGAGGAGGGAGGGAGAAAAACAGGAAAAAAAAAAAGAAAGAGGAGGGGGAGAGGGGGAGGGGGCGCGGAGGAAATGCAAAAATGGAGAAGAGAAGGTAGACGCTGCTAACGCATAGCACTGCCAGCCGAAAACAGAGGAGCAATTTTGCCATTTAGCTTCAGCAGAAAGTTTTTAAGAGAAGGGTAGCGAATCTGGTTGACAGAAGGTTAAAGAAAGAGTGGGAAGTGGGAAATGCACGAAAGCATTCGATTCCTTAATTTTTCATCAAACGCAAACAACCCCCAGAAGATATCTTGGCAAATAAAATGCTTTTCTCAGATTTTTCTCACATCTTTCTAATTCTTATTTGCAACCTCCCATCTTTCCGTTTCTTAGCTTCTTTCGGAGTGCCTCGGCCTAATTTACGCCAACCGAAAAAGGTAAAAGCTTTTGTTCAGTTTTACAGTGAAGAACCCACATGAGTCTTTGTTTTTTCACCTGAAAATTTCTACTTCTCCCACTTTTTGGGCGTTATTCGCCAATGATCACTGTTAACTTATTTCCTGTGTTTTCCATGATCTTGGGTTTTGTATAAAGACTTTGACTTTGAGCATACTTTGTGTTTCATCGTGTTGATATATAATTTTCTTCTTCTCAAGTTATGCAGTGAGTTGGTGATGTAATTGAGAGTTTCTTTTCATTTTTTTCCTTGAATTGAATTTTCTAAGGGCTTCAAATCGTAGTTGTTGAAATATAACTAAGCTATTGTGTATTGTCATCTCTCTATCCAGTTGGGAATGTGTGTCCTTTTGCTTCCAGACTATAAAAAATGGGTTTCGACCCTTGTTATTAACATTTTTCCTTGTATCAGTACGCAAGTTTAGCAAGAAACTATTGGTTAGCTACTGCTTGAACTTGTTAATGAATCTCGTTAATTTTTGGTAATGGGTATTNTAAAGTCATGAACGTGGCCCGTGTGAGATAACATTTGTAGTTTCCTCCCCCTCCCTTCCCCCTTCCTAGTTTTTCTTTTCTACTTTTTTAGACCTACAGGTTGTAAGGTGGTAGCTTACTCTCCTAATCATTTTTTTTTCTTCCTTATTTGTGTTTTTAGCTTTTATTTAGAACTACAATGGTTTATACTTCTCATTTGTCGCACTATTTTTTTCTCGCTATAAAGTATCCTGAACGTGTTGCCAGCATGTTCGAAATTCAAAAAAAAAAAAATTCATTTTTCTGACGTTGATATACAGGATTGGGAGAGATTTCCATGCTTCACAGATCATAATGTCTCATATTCTATTAGTAATCAACATTGAGGACCACGGGGACTCCAGATGTTGACTTGTGATGTTTACATTTGTCAACATCCAACAATTGCAACCAGTTAGGTTGCATTCTCTCTTAAATGGGGCTAATCTTTCTCATGATGGGTTTCTGGGCTCCTGTAGGGATAATGTTGTTTTCAGAAAACTTTCCTAAGCAATGCCTGGCAAATGTCGACTCTGTGCATTTCAATTTATCATGTGCTATTATTGTTGTCAGTCATTGGATTTTAGTCAATTTTATAGTTGCAATAATCGGTTTTGGTGTAACTAGTTCATCTGCGGCTTTCTCTTTTACAGAACTATTTGAAATGGAAATTTTGTTTATACGCAAATTGTACTACACGATACCATGGTATTTATTGTCGTCTTCATGGGAATTACAAAATTGGAAGTAATGATAATAGTAGTGACCTGTTGATATTCTTGCATTACTTCGGAGACATTTGGTTACCGAAGAAGTAACAAAACAGATTGACTCTGCAGGCTGTGTTTCAAAAGTCACCAATAAATCTTTCACTGATTTGACTGGCGCCCCTTGGGATCAAGGAAAAAGCCAAGGTAGAGTTTCTTAAATGAAGCGTTANTGAAGTAACAAAACAGATTGACTCTGCAGGCTGTGTTTCAAAAGTCACCAATAAATCTTTCACTGATTTGATTGGCGCCCCTTGGGATCAAGGAAAAAGCCAAGGTAGAGTTTCTTAAATGAAGCGTTATATTTGTTCTAACAGTATCAATAGCTTTAGTCCATGTACACTGACTTCTAAGACTCTTACCTTTAATTTCCAATACTAACAGGAGATGCTTCCCAGAAAAGGGGGCCTCTTGCTCTTATTTTTCATCCGAAACATCAAGGGCAATAAATTACAATGCTTTGTATCTATTCTTTTATTTGCACGTTGCTGTTTCAAAGGATATTATGTGACTTCTGTTACATTTGCTTTAATAATTGGATGGTATCTTTCATTTAGTTTCAAAGAGGATTGAGGAATGAAAAAGAACTTGGAATCAATCTCTTTTGTAGAGTTAAGTGCTTTAGTATACTTGACACTTATTTTTTGAAGCAATCCTCTCCTGAACCCAATACATTTAAGCAAATCTTAGTATAATGGCAACTCCTTATTTGTCAGCCAGATTAAGTATTGTGCAAGAGTATTTGCAACTGAAGTTGGCTTTTGGTTTTTGAAGCCAAGCATTTGAAATTCTGTAAATTTTACAAAATGTGGGCCAGAAACGGATTTTGAAATGAGAAAGCAGGGATGACAAGTTCTTGTGGCAGTTGGTTATTTCCTTTCTCCAATTCGATATCTTTCATTATAGGAAATTATTGTGTCTCAATGAAGAAATAAAATGCATGAGGCTTGTTAAGGCCACTAAAATCATGCTACTATACTTTAATTTTCTCTTTGAATGATCTTGTATGTGATTCAGCTTTGGAGTATTTCCCGTTTCATCATGTGTATGATCTGCAATCACAAAGAATTAATGAAAAAGCATCTTTACGTGGTTCCAGTTGCCAATGCATTGCCCTACTCGCTGACGTGTCATAAATGGCAGGGGAAATTCTCATACTAATTGTAGGGGATTTGATGCCACAGTCTTCAATGGCAGACCTGAAAGGCTCCCACCGTCCAACCATTTTTTATAGGCCTATTCTGCCTTCAGATTTAGAGGTTCTTGAGAAAATCCATGGTGACTTATTTCCTGTTAGGTCAGTTGATCTCATGATCTGCTATCTTTTGCATCATTTTTTAACTACAATGAAGTCGCTTCACTCACCATAATTCACCATAAGCTTGTTGCCATTTTCTTAGGTATGAGTCTGAGTTCTTTCACAGTGTTGTTAATGGCTGTGATATTGTGTCTTGGGGAGCTGTTGACCGCAGTCGGCCCAGCGATCAGAGTGATGAACTTATTGGATTTGTCACCGCAAGGATTGTCCTGGCAGAAGAAAGTGAGGTAAGCACTTAGTGTACCTCCGATTCTAACATTTTAGCTTCATATGGAAATCATGAATTTTCAAAGCACATTGGGTATTTTAGTCTTTCATTTTGCTAGACATACTCAAGTTAGGTTGCTTATGTCATACTGAGCCCTCATGCAAATATTTGCTAAATTTTAGAGTATAATTGGAGCTTATTATATACAACCAGCACTGGTCTTGCAGATAAAAGATTTGCTCAGATGCAACTCATCAAAATCACAACCAACGGTAGTTTATATTCTTACACTTGGGGTAGTAGAATCTTATAGAAATCTTGGCATAGGTAGGGGTTGTTTCTTCTGTGGAACTCTTTATTGAACTTCTTTCTTTCTTTAGCTGAAACATTTCTGGTGTTGAATTTTCAGCTAGTTCACTAATTCGAGAGGTTATCAAATATGCCTCCAACATCCCCACTTGCCAAGCAGTTTACCTACATGTGATTTATTATAACAATCCTGCCATCCATTTGTACAAGAAAATGTCCTTTCAGTGTGTCCGAAGGCTGCATGCTTTTTATTTCATACATGGACAGTACTATGATGGATATTTGTTCATTTACTATGTGAATGGTGGCCGATCTCCGTGCTCACCACTGTAAGTGAAATTTTCTTCTTCTTTCTGTTTTATCTCTCAGTCTAGCTTGCTGAGAAATGACTGGAGCATTTGCCCAAAACAAATTGGTAACCCCAAAACTAGTATTTTTACGTTAGTATGTCCTAATTGAGGGGGAAACCAAAATTCTGGACAGAAAATGGAAGAAACAAGGACCAGAACTTGAATTTCTCTAATTTAAACATAGAAATTGTGCACTCTGTTAGCTGAATCAATCAATCCACAAGTTATAGTGCATAGAAATTACACTGTTCTATAAAGAAAGGCATGTTCATTGCAGAAGGGTAATAATTTGGGCTAACACGTAGTGGGGTCCATACTGCCCTGCCAACTCGTCATCAAGTAACAAATATAAGGGTTGTGTCTATTCCCCAATCACAAAAGCCACCTACCACCTACAGTATATTGCTATACTATTTTTTCGTCTGTGTAGAACCCAGCATTATGAAGAAGCAAGTGTTGGGAAGTTAACATAGATGCCATTGGAAAAATGGCAAATTTCAACTCCCCCCGGGTGGGGGCTTCCCTGGGGGCAGGGGTGTTCTGTAGGGTTGCACTGGAGCACAATATGTGGAACATTTTTAGTATTAGATATTGGTTCCTTTTAACATTACGTTTTACTTGTCAATTTCTGTGTGACTTTGCCCCAAGTATAGCATTACCAATCTCTGCATCTGGTTGGCTAGAGGAGTTACCGTTTCTGTTTTTGAAGCAGATGGAATACTTACAGTCCATTGTCAATATGCTTGGTAAGATGAACATGTATTTTCTTGATAATGGTTGGCATTGGAACCAATATGTTTCATTATCAACTGAAACTTAAAATGGTAGCTACAAAATCACTGAGCCCGATTAAGTCAATGGCAATATGATGGTTCACCGTGATTGATAATGTCATGGATTGCTTGTGATTTCAAGTATTATGGTTTTGCAATTGATGATGCCAGCTAATACGATTTATCAGCCTTTTGGTCTGCAGAGAGCTTGTCACACTTGGGGTGACTTACATGAGGAGTGGATTTAAATCGGTGGTAGCCAGGCTATTGAACAATGAAGACGGGAAGGTCCCCAAGTCAGCCAAATGTAAAGAATCTGGTTGCCTTCTACCGTCAATGTAAAACAAGAGAACCCTTGAAAGTCAAAACTGAGGGTACGGGGTGTCAGTTTGTCTAGTGTTCTAATTACTCTGGCTGATGCTATAGAAATAAACTCAAAAGTCAAAAGTTAATGTGTTCTTTTATAACTATTCTACATTATCTCTTTTCTTAATCTTCCGTCCTTGTATACCAGCAAGCCAAGGAATAATAGTGTCTTATTACTAACACACTGAATGTTCTGAACTAAGGGATCCATGTATTTATCAGTATCTAAATATATACTGTAGATTTTTTGATTGGAAATTTGAATGATTTTTTGATGGTGGCGTTCTATTGTTTTTTCTTGTGTTTGAGGGAGCGTATAAATTTGATCATACTGCTTCTAAGGTGCCTGCTCCTACCAGATATGTAAAGCCAGATGGTATATGTATCAGTAGGCTTTTGTGAATTTCATGTGTTCTTTTTAACAAGAAACACTATCTTTGTAAGGCATGCTTTCTTCAAACACCTTTACCAAGTTGATTTGGTCTTTTAGGTATTCAGTGTGACTGGAGTAGTTCTGTTGCCCATTATGTATTGTCAGTCCATGACAATGAAGTTTGTTGAAGTAAGGTTATAAAGGGAGCAAGACATCATAGTTTGAATCTTATCATAGGCATATGTGATTTGGGGGTGGGTATGTCCTATTGCTACTGAAGTTTTTATTTTTAAATTCATTAGCAAGAGTATAAATCACATTCAGGCTGCTTTGCATAATTTTTGTAATTGTGGAGCATTGCATGTGCCAAGGGTCAACCTATCTATAAACAATCAAATAACTTGTACAAAATGTCCAGCTTTGTTAAATTGTTCAACCATATGTGAAGAGCAAAAATGGTGAAGATTGAAAGTCAAGAAATGGAGATCTAGATTGGGTACTCGCAGGAAATCAAAACAATTATATACAGAGTACTTGAGCTTTAATAAAACTCATTCAATCATTCGTAGACGGTACCTTCTAACATTCCTACTGTAGTCTTTGCATTTCTAATTTTCCTCATGCTTTTGGTGGTGGAAGTTGTTTGTTGAATTTTTGCCGGGAATGAACCACCAAAATATTAATGTACCGCCAAATTTTATAAATTTATCTTATGACATCATTTTTACAAGTTTTATTGGTCAAAATTTGTACAATCAATCCCAAGTATTTCAAAAATTATAAATGATCATCAACATTTGTAAGTGACCCTTAAAATTTACAAATAACCTACAAAAATTATAAATAATCTTCAAAATTTATAAAAAAATATTTATAAAATTGTAAGTGACGACATGATACTCTTTTTTTTTTGGGGTACCTAATACTTCTCCAGATTATATTATTATGAACTAGTGGAGAAAAATATTTATTTATTCAAGAAACTACATATGAAATACAAAAATCAAGAGATCTAGTGTAAAAATAGAGCGAAATAGAGATAGAGGCACCGCAAAAAAAGTCATGTGAAATTGATGGCATGTGCCTTGTTTCGTAGAGATTAATAACATTAAGAGAAGCAAACACAATCAGTAATCAAAACCAGATATGGGCTCTTAGCTAATGTTTATTAGACATTTTTACTAAATATAAGATACTAATTATTTTCAACAAAACTGTAATGCGCAAAACATAAAGAGTGTATTTGAATTGACTTAAAAAAATATTTTTTAGATTGTTGACTTATTATAAGTATTTTTTTTTAAAAGCAATAGTATTTGAAATTATTTTTTAAAAATAATTTTTAAAAAATTAAAATTATTTTACCACTTAAATAAGTTTAAAAATAAAAGTTAAAAAATAAAGCTTGTCCAAAATCACGTATGGCAATTCATTTTTATCTTTATTGTTTTTCACCCTCTCGCTGCGAATGTCTAAAGGCCCTTCTTCCACTCTGGTGACCATTGACGACGATGCCCAAGAGGTAGTAGATCGCCGGCGACTATGACTGCTCTGTTCTCTCTTCCGTCTTCGTTCCTTTTTCCATTTTGGTGACCATCGACGACGATGCCGAAGAGTTAGGAGATTGTCGACGACTGTGACTGCTCTGTTTTCTCTTCTGTCTTTGTTCTTTTGGAGTTATTGGATATGTCAGTTCATCTTGAACATGTACGGACTTGGATTTGTATATAATGTGGAGTATCTTTGATATATTTGTCTCTTTCTCTATTCATCTCTTTGGTTACTCTTTTGGGAACCGTAGTTACTGCCACACACACTGCTATATTATTATTAGAGTTGTCTTATTTTATTATATGAATGCAATTTTGGCATTAGAAAGTTGTTTTGCACCTTATTCTACTGTAATAGATGGCATGATAAGATTGTGTGTTGTGCAACTTTAATGGATTATTCATTCCTATAATCTGTTTGATAAAATGTCTCTTAGAAAATTTGGATTTAATTTGTGCTTGTGTGTTGGTCCATTGCCTTTCTCCTCTATTCCTTTTGGTTTTCACAGTAGATATTGTTTGATTTCTTGCATTGGCACAAAATGTGCCCAATGCAAATTTGAAGAGGTTCAAGCTACCTTTCTTATGAAACAAGTATGGAGTCTATTGCAGGGTTCTTCTTTATGGGCCCCAAGTATTTGGCTCAAAATTTTTGAAAGGGAAGGGTTTGTTGAGATATTTGAGCAGGAGACTTGCAGCTAGTTTTGAATTGCTGAGGCCTTTTTTCGAAAAGGTAGTTGCTAGTTCAAGATTTGTGGTGGGGAATGGGTTGCGTATTGCCTCAAGTTTTTCCTAAGCTAGCTAATGTTTTTGAGGATCGGTTTGGCATTTAATGATGAGAGGTTTTATTTGTCTGATGAGATCAGAAATGAAGTCTTGCTTTCAGGTGTGTGTTCGTCTGATGAATGTGATAAATTGATCTAGATGGCTGCTAATTCTGGTGCATTCTTTGATAAATCTGCTTGGCATTTGGTGAGAGTGCAGGGTGTTGTTAGTGCTGTTGCTAATTCTGGTGCATTTTCTGTTAATCCGGGGATTGCTTGGGGTGGAGCTATTGTCCGTAATGAATGGGAGAATTTGGTTCTGGCCTCTTCTTTCTTTTATGGAGAGTGCTCAAACATGGTGGTTGAGTATAAAGCTTTATTGGATGGTTTACAACTTATTTTTGCTTATGGGTTGTCTGGTTATAGCCTTGTAATTGAATGTGACTCCCTGGTGCTGGTCAATTATGTTATGGGTTCTTGTGATTGCCCATGGATCTGTTTGGGTTATCTGAGGCAAATCAGAGGTCTTCTGAGACAGCTGCAACATTGATTGGTCCATGTTTATAGGAAAGCTAATTCAGTTGCCGATAGGTTAGCTGCTCAAGCATTGATGAGTGGACGGTCTTCCGATTTTATGTGAGGGGNCCCAATGCAAATTTGAAGAGGTTCAAGCTACCTTTCTTATGAAACAAGTATGGAGTCTATTGCAGGGTTCTTCTTTATGGGCCCCAAGTATTTGGCTCAAAATTTTTGAAAGGGAAGGGTTTGTTGAGATATTTGAGCAGGAGACTTGCAGCTAGTTTTGAATTGCTGAGGCCTTTTTTCGAAAAGGTAGTTGCTAGTTCAAGATTTGTGGTGGGGAATGGGTTGCGTATTGCCTCAAGTTTTTCCTAAGCTAGCTAATGTTTTTGAGGATCGGTTTGGCATTTAATGATGAGAGGTTTTATTTGTCTGATGAGATCAGAAATGAAGTCTTGCTTTCAGGTGTGTGTTCGTCTGATGAATGTGATAAATTGATCTAGATGGCTGCTAATTCTGGTGCATTCTTTGATAAATCTGCTTGGCATTTGGTGAGAGTGCAGGGTGTTGTTAGTGCTGTTGCTAATTCTGGTGCATTTTCTGTTAATCCGGGGATTGCTTGGGGTGGAGCTATTGTCCGTAATGAATGGGAGAATTTGGTTCTGGCCTCTTCTTTCTTTTATGGAGAGTGCTCAAACATGGTGGTTGAGTATAAAGCTTTATTGGATGGTTTACAACTTATTTTTGCTTATGGGTTGTCTGGTTATAGCCTTGTAATTGAATGTGACTCCCTGGTGCTGGTCAATTATGTTATGGGTTCTTGTGATTGCCCATGGATCTGTTTGGGTTATCTGAGGCAAATCAGAGGTCTTCTGAGACAGCTGCAACATTGATTGGTCCATGTTTATAGGAAAGCTAATTCAGTTGCCGATAGGTTAGCTGCTCAAGCATTGATGAGTGGACGGTCTTCCGATTTTATGTGAGGGGTTCAACTGCCTTGTGAGGTTGGGCTTGCTTTGTTGAATGACCAGCTTGGCATGGCTGTTCTGCGAAAGAAGAGAAGACTTGTTTTTGATGACAAAGGTTAATTTGGCTTTGAAAAGTGCTGATTTGTTTGAAATCTCTGGAAAGGTTGCTGACTATTATGAAGAGGATGCCTAGGAGCAGCTGCTTTTTGTTTTGAGAATTTTGATTGTTAGTATGATTTTTCTTGTTTTGTTTTTGGTAGGCGGATGTGCCTTTTTGGTTGTTTTATTAGGTGTTTGTGCCTTATCTTTGCTTCTTGTAATCCTCTTTGTGAATAAATAAAATTTTTCTTTTTCTTAAAAAAAAAAGGTTATTTATTTTTTCATGGCTTTAGACTTTCAACACACAAATGTGACTATTGTTTGAATGCTCTAATTTCATACTTTATTAATGTGATTTTCTTTTATGTACGATATTTTTTTGCGTATCATTGTATGTATATTGTATGTTTGTATATGTACACTCAATAATGTTAACAATTGTGACACAAATAGGTATTTTTACTTCCAAACTGACTTATAAAACACTTTTCATAAACACGTATTGAAAAAATATTTTTTGGATTTTATAAGTCATCCTAAACGCAACTTAAATCTTTTTCTTGAGCAATGAAACAAAATATGACAATTCGTCCAATACCTTTTCTAATA